AAAGGGAAAGAGCCCTTTTGAAATTCTCCATAACCAAAAACCTGACTATTCTTTCTTAAAGGTTTTCGGCTCTGGCTGCTGGCCCAACCTACGGCCCTATGCCCCTCACAAACTTGGCCCACAATCTCTTTATTGTGTTTTCATTGGTTATGCTCCTAATCATTTGGGTTACCTATGTTTGCATCTTCCTTCAGGCCGCATATATATCTCTCGAGATGTAATTTTTGATGAATTCATTTTTCCCTTCCAAGCCCAACATGATAACCGTGAGCCCAATCCTCCCACCCCTCTCCCTCCTTTCTCTATTCGGCCCAATCCTCCCATAACCCAACCCTCTACTGACAACCCCTGTACCTTTCCTTCTTCTCCACATACCCCCTTCTTTGTCTCTTCTGACTCCACGCCGCCCTCTCTCTCTCCTTCCCCTGTTCTTTCGCCTGCACCACGTTCCTCTACTCCACCACCACCTGCTACCGTGCCGTCACCCCATCGTCCTTCCCACCCCATGATCACTCGCTCCAAAGTAAATACCTTTAAACCTAAAGCTCTACCACTTGACTTTCTCTCTCATATACCCCCTCACGCTCACCTGTCCTCGGTCTCTGCCCTCTCTGTCCCATCTTCTGTCTCTCAAGCACTCAGAGTACCCGAATGGCGACAGGTGTTGCAAGATGAATACCATGCTCTTCTTTCTACCAACACATGGGATCTGGTTCCCTATTCCCCTTCTATGAACGTCGTCGGCTGCAAGTGGGTCTTCCGAACAAAATTTCTTCCCAATGGTTCTCTTGACAAGTTCAAAGCGAGACTTGTTGCCAAGGGCTTTCACCAACAACCTGGTGTTGATTTTGCTGATACTTTCTCTCCGGTGATTAAACCAGTGACCGTCCGCCTTATTTTGTCTATCGCCGTTTCAAACGGTTGGCCAATCAATCAGATCGATGTTCAAAATGCCTTCCTCCATGGCTTTCTCACTGAGGATGTCTACATGCACCAACCACCTGGATTCGTCCATCCTGATTTCCCTTCCCATGTCTGTAAATTGCGCCGAGCAATATATGGCCTCAAACAGGCACCCCGCGCTTGGTACGCTCGACTCAGTGCTCGCCTCTCTGACCTCGGTTTTTCTCCTTCTCGGTCAGACTCTTCCCTATTTATTTGTCACAACTCAAAATGCACTGTTTATGTTCTCATTTACGTTGATGATATCATTGTTACCGGCTCATATGTTGCTGTGGTTCAAGAACTTATTACTGCCCTTGGACTCTCATTTCCTGTCAAGGACCTTGGTAAATTACATTATTTCTTAGGTGTTGAGGTTCTTCATTCTTCCTCTGGCCTAATTCTCTCTCAACGCAAATATATCCTGGATCTACTTGAGAAAGCTCACATGTCCAAGGCTCGTCCGGTCTCTACCCCTATGGCATCTGGCTCTGTTCTCACTGCCTCCCTTGGTCCTGATTTTACCGATCCTCATCACTACAGAAGCATTGTCGGTAGTCTTCAATATCTCAGCTTTACTCGTCCTGATATTACCTTCGCTGTCAACCGTGTTTGCCAGTATATGCATAATCCGAAAGACCACCACTGGACGGCTGTTAAACGTATTCTCCGTTACCTAAGAGGCACTTCACATCTTGCTCTTCACATTACGCCCTCTTCATCACTTACCCTCTCTGTTTTCTCTGATGCTGATTGGGGGGGAAACCCGGATGATTTCAGATCTACTGGTGCCTTTGCTATTTACCTTGGTCCTAATCTCATTGCTTGGAGTTCAAAAAAACAAGCCACGGTGGCTCGTTCCAGCACTGAGGCCGAATACAAGGCTATTGCCACCAGTGCAAGTGAGGCTATTTGGGTGCAAAATTTGTTACATGAGCTTGGTATATTTCTGCGAGAGGCCCCCTTTCTTTACTGTGATAATTTAGGCGCAACCTATCTCGTCGCCAATCCAGTCTTTCACTCTAAGGCCAAACACATTTCCCTTGATTATCATTTTGTCCGAGAAAGACTTGCAGCTGGCCTCTTACACATTCTTCATGTCTCCTCCAGGGATCAAATTGCAGATATTCTCACCAAACCTCTACCCACTTCTCGGTTTGTTACCTTGCGATCGAGTCTCACTGTGCTTCCAACTCAGTTTCACTCGCGGGGGAGTATTGAAGCCCAACACTTAAACAAGCCCAGTATAAACCCATAACGTAGCCTTTAGTTTCTGTAGCCTTTTTCTCTTTACACGTGTATCTCTTGTATTGGTTATCATCCTCTATATATTGAGCCAACTATTGTACACAAATATAATAGACAATATATTCTGAGATGATTTCTTTAGCATTTTCTCTCTTGTCGCTCTGTTTACATTTCTGCTCCATTAAATACGAACTGTTGTATGCTAGCTTAATGATGAAGATGATCTATTAATTAATTATTCATAGGCCAAATATTAGTTGGCTCAGGAATTATTATTTTATCTAAAATATTTTGGTTTTCCAATTAAGTTGTTGGGAGATAATCTTATTACTTTTTGCTTGAGAGTTTATTCTTATATAACTCTTAAAATTATAGTAGACACTGATGCTTGAATTTCAAATCCAAATACAAATACCTCATCCGGTCCTTATTATTAGGGGGCGTTTGGTACGAGAAAAATGGAGAGAGAGGAGGTAATGAAAAATTGTAATGAGCTCATTTTAAAAAATTGAAGAAGTAGAGTAACAAGATTTTGATAAAAGGAAGATATAACATAAAAGAGTAAGAAAAAATTAATTAAAATGTTTTTACCCCATTTTTTCAAATTTTCAAAACCAGCTCATTAAAATTTTTCCATCCCTCTCCTTTCTTCCATTTTTCTCATACCAAATGGGCCATTAAGAAAACTAACTAAATTATATTGTCACAAATTTATAGAAATTTCCAAATTTATCCTTTATAAAATTAAAAAATGAAATTATTTTTTCTGCTTATTTACAGTAAATTAATAGATTTTGTATTTTATTTGAAAGAAATCATGGCAAACTCTATGGCAAACTCTATCATAATTTATTTTAGGTTTGTCATAATGACGTTCCAAATAAACACAGCTAGGAAAATTTTTTATGGCTTCCTATATACTTTGCCTCTTACACTAATTCTAATTCACCGGCGAAAAGAGAGAAATTATCTTGGACTGTCGCTTTGTAATATTCCAATCTATCCCTTCAAAAATTGAATATAAAATTCTAGTCTTGCTGAACAGAATGATGGTTGAGACCTTCTGATTATCATTTCAACACAACTAAGACTTTCTCTATTTTCCCTCATCCTCAGGTCCAACATGATTATTTCAGATGAAGAGAATCTCTTTACTTGCTGAGCAGAATTTTCCTAGTTATAAATTTCAGAGTCTAGCACTTTATGTTGTCCCCAGTTGAGAATATCTTTCCCCCCTCTTTTTAGTCTTGTTACCTGTAAAAATTTTATGATTATAGAATAAGAAAAATAGACTCAGACGTGAAAAGTCACTTCTCTGTAAAGAGCGATTGTCTAGGTCAATTCCTTTCTAATTGGGGACTTTGAATGTCACCAACTACACATTACTACGTGAACATAAGCAAATCAATAAATTCTCCTGAATCACCATGTCAAAGCCAATAAGCTTCAAAACTCATTTTATATAGCTGCTTTTTATCATTAACAAACTTCCCATAACATGCCAACTTCAACTTTACTGTCTTTGGCTTTCTGTGCAGAGCTTGTACTGAAGTTTCTGGGAATCTCCCTCTTTAATAACAAGAGGAAAAACCAATTCAAGTATGTGAATACAATAACCAAAAGTGTTTGCTACTGCTGGCTTGCCAGTAATTAGCTCAAACAAAATTATCCCAACGAAAAGAAGAACAAAAACAAAACTTTCAGCATAAAATGGTAACAATTTAGTGCAAAGTCATTCACAAATTTCTTCATCTCATGAACCAACATCACCTTGGACGACAAACAGGCTTACTAGAAATACAGCAAAGAAACGGATTACTTGACTAAACAAAACAAATCTCTCTGGTTGGATTGAATGATTGGTTGGGAGAGACTATTTGGATCTGCAAATAATCCTCATGGACCGAGTTTGATTCAAGTGGAAATTAAGTGGTACTCAAAGCAGAGCCAGAAGTTTCACTGTTATTTTTGGCATTTTGAAGGGATATTTCCCAGGCCAGACATTCCTTTAAATCAGCTACTACATGTTCTATATCGGGCCTTTGAATTGCAACTTGTGGGATGCAAGACATGGCTATCTCTAAAAATTTCCATATTGAAGCATTATTGAATTTTCCCTCTAATCTGGGATCCATAATCGATTGGATATCCCCAATCTCCAGCTTTAGAGCCACCCAATCAGATATGTGACTTGTGTTGCCAGCAGGTGCTCCTATATATTACTGCCGGCCGACCACTCATAAGCTCAAAGTAAAATTACCCCAAAACTATAAACATTGCTTATCTTATTCAGGTTTCCAAAGCTATGGAATCTGTAAATTTTTCAAGATTGAGTATTCATCAATAAATTTGCATTTTCATGTATTTGGCCCAGAAAAGTGTGATGTTGGATGTGGTCAAATGACGAACATGCCATTTTCAAGCTATTCTACTAAATTTTGCTAAAAGTTGAGCTGTATAGTTCATTATTGGAGAAATTTCTCTAAATTTTGTCTAGTCTTCAGCATTACGGATCTATAAATTTCGCATGATTAATTAGCCATTGAGAAAATTAAGCTAAGCAACTATGACATTTTAGGCACAATCACCACTATATTTTCTACACCCCATATATATAGTCACATGTCTGATAAAATATTTTGCACTAGTAACATAACCTACATTGCATATGCATCCTGTGGGTTAGTTTGTGCAATTTGCAAATTTCTCTATCTCTGGGGCCAAACATGATCAAATGAGTTCGTTAGAACAAAGCAAACAAGCAAACAGTTTGACTAAGCAAAACAAATCTCTCTGCCGCGATTGGATGATCAATTCAGAGAAAGACCATGCATGCAGCTACAAACAACCCTACCTAGCAGATGGAGGAGAGTATGATCCAGACAGAGAATACTTGTTTCCAGTGATGCTTCCATAGCCACACATTGCTTGAGATCAAATACAACAGAATTTATATCAGGTCTTTGGATTGGTGCTGGTGTAATGCAAGACATGGCTATCTCTAGAAACTTCCATGCTGAAGCACGACTGAATTTTCCTTCTACTCTTGGACCCACAATGGCTTGGATATCCCCAGTCTCAAGCTTTGGATTTACCCAATCAGATATGTGTCGTGCCCCGTCAGACGTTTCAGTTATTGCTCGCTGTCCAGTCATTAGCTCAAGCAGAATTATCCCAAAACTGTAAACATCGCTTTTCTTGTTCAAATTTCCAGATCTATGGAACCTGCAAATTTTGCAAGATTAATCAGTTTTTGAAGGAATTGAGCAGGTCGTCTATTTTTAATCATCAATGCTAAGTTTCAAGGCCGTGCAGTTACTTTAAATTGAAATTATATGTATTGCTATATGGGCTTGAATGATGAACAAATGCTAATAAGCTATTCTATTATATATTTTGCTGAAGTTGAGTAAAATAGAACAAACTTATATCTTGGGTATCAACAAAGATTGGAAAAGAAAACAAGATGAAAAAATTTACACACCCAGGGTCTAAATAGCCATATGTGCCAGCTGGGCGAGTTGATATATGAGTGTTAGTATCATTGCCAAAAGCTCTGGACAATCCAAAATCAGCAATCTTGGCTTGCATGTGTATACTTAGTAAGATGTTGGAAGTTTTTAAGTCTCTATGGATTATTGCTGGCTTACAACCATTATGTAAATAGTCCAATCCTGCATTTTTAATGAGAAATAAGATAATTTCTAACGCTGAAATTAACAAACGGTCACTGAAAGCAATGAAAATGAATAAAAGCAAAGGAAGTGGGTTGACAATTTCAAAGAGGGAGAAGAGTATTTTGCATACCACATGCTGCATAATACCCCACAAACTAAGTAATTTGAGAGACATACCACAGTGCATTGAAGAATTTCCATCTAATAATTCAGATATTCAGTTATATTCTGGCATTATGGAATGGATAAAGCTCTAAATATTATATATGAACGAACATAATCAATTAAAATTTTCAATTCATTGCCTTGATGTTTCTTAGGGCATTATTTTCAAGAAAAATCTTAGAAAAAGTAACATTAAAGTATATTTTTAGTCCCTTAATTTTAGTCCCTTAAATTTAAAAAGTATATTTTTAGTTCTTTAATCTTAAAACCATTAAGAAAATAATGTTATTGAGATCTTGAATGTTGATAAAACATTCTCAAATACTAATATATTAAGTTTAATTTTCAAAACAACTATGATTATCAGAAAATGTCATCATTTAATACTAACGATTTTAGAGTTAAATGACTGAAAACATATGTTTTTTAAGTTAAAGGACCAAACTAAAGCTTTATATAAAGTTAAAAGATTAAAAGTATATTTTAGCCAAAAAGTAATTAACAAACCTGATAATTTCTGTCGGAGATTTCCTTCAATCATGTATTCATAAAGTAATGCCTTCGTGTCACCATCGTCACAATAGCCAACAAGAGAAATCAAGTTCCTATGATGAACAACCATCAAAAGTTCTGCCTGCATTTATTTTGAACTTCAGCTTTATTATCATCAACAAATTAATGTGTTGGAGTTCAATATAAATTAGAGGAAAACATTAAAATCCAACATCAAATGATTAATCATTTTTGCTTCTAACCTCTGACTGAAATTCCTTAAACCCTTGTTGTGATGACTTTGAGAGTAACTTGACTGCAACTTGTGTATCATCTTGTAGTGTTCCAAGGTACACTTTTCCAAATCCCCCTTCTCCAATTACGGTTTCAAAGTCATTGGTAATGCTAAGAACTTCCAAGTGACTAAATGCACGATTTTTGGATTTTAGACTCCCGTCTTTTCTAAATGAAGAAATCTTCACTACAACAATGGCAATGAAATTCCAATAGCATCATATATTAATAATTGAATTTGAATTATTTTAGGTATGAAAATACATATATAAAATTTGAATTACTCATTTCTGTCGTTTTTATAAAGTCATATTAACTACTTTTATGAGATTATATTAGTTAAAACCAGTTAAATATTAAAACTTTTTACAAATTTCCAAAATTTCCCTTTGATTGATCTACATATATAGTTCATTGTGGGGAGGATATCAAAGCCATTAAGTACTTACGCTAACAAGATTTAAGAAAACGGCATTTTTAAAAATGCATCATGCGATTTTCATTAAATTTCGTAAAGGATCTTATACTCCTCCGTTCCCATATACAAGAAACAAATGATTGACTTACGAAGATGGATAAAACTAGTTGAAAGCATTTACGTTTCATAAGTATGTCACAAGTGTAATCTTTTTAAAAAATACATGTATCCCAATTAATCTTGAACTTTTACTAAATATTTAATGAGACTTATCAAGCCATTTATATTTAATGTAGGGAATGAGGGTGTAAGCTCACCCGGGATGCCTTTCATATCACTTTGTTTTCCCCTTTTATGTTTGCAAAACTTCACAGAAATGCAGACTACTATTACGAGGACTGCTGCAGAAGCTACTACAGATGCAATAAGTGGTATAACGGGCTTCTTTGTTTTGGTTTTGCAAGCACCGATCTGACAGGGACTTGGATTTCGATCCAAACTAGGGCGAAAAAAAGCACCAGTTCATAACTGTGAGTCGTATGACAGAACATTGTCTGTATATTATGCAACTAGCATATGGTATTAATAAAGCTGTTAATAGTATAGACACTTACTAGTTCTGAAACTGAAGTATACTAGGTAGTGAAGGAAGGGAGAATAGAACATGTTCTTCTGAATATTCTCAATCAAAACAGAAGAAGTGCCATTCTATGCGGACAAAGCGACTGCAGAGGAATGAACTCAGAGTGGTGTAATAAGCAAATTAAACCTCAATATCAACGAAGTGCCGTTCTTCTCCCTAAGAGCCTTTGGAATTGAACCACTTAGATTGTTCCCTGACAAATTACTGCTAATACATCACGTGAGAAAATCACAATACTCCTCCGGTCCTTAACATAAGACCCATTTAACTAATTTGATTAGATTAAGGAAGTTAGGTAAGTTAGTTACTTATAAGAAATGTGACATATTTTTCCTAAAATACCATAATCATCTTTCTTAATACCCCCTCTTCCTCTTCTACTTGATTATAGTTGAGAGAGTATCCACAGGGGTAATTTAGAGAAAATTGATAAATATGATAATGGGTCTTATATTTAGGACGAAAACCAACTTAACAATTGGGTCCTATATTAAGGACCGGAGGAGTATTTGTGGAATTAGGTAGCATCATTTCTGTATGCGCTAAAGCGTTGCAACTTACAGTAGTTTTAACTTGGGTAGTTTTGCTAAAACTTCAGGTATTTCTCCCATCAATTGATTGTTGGACAAATCCCTACAACATGTGACATATTAATCATATGAAATTATTACACATGAGAGCTATTATTATGCATTGCTTGGATAATGAATGTGACTAGAGAAATTCATCAAGTTGGCATTAACTTAAATACTACTTACAGGGACTCCAACGATGTGAGGTCGGAAAATGAAGTAATTACCTCTCCACTCAATTTGCTTGAGCTCAAGTTCCTGCCCATATGTTGTCAATAATGGAAATCTCGCTATAACAAACACAGTACAAGAAAGGACGAAGAGAGATATTGGAAGTCGCAACATATATATATATATATATACACACTCCTTTATAGCTCATTGAACAATATTGATGTATCAATAAACAGCATGAACAGAGGAATGCATTATAGTCTTGAACTAAAATGTTAGTTAACGGGTATGGAAATAATATCCTAGTTAGATTACCAGGTCACGTCTAACAAAATTTTAAAAAGATCAAAAGACTACTCACAATGAAGTGACCGATGGGATGTTGTCAATGTAATTACAAGTCAGACCTTCCCAACTATAACTGGTTGGCATGCATGGATCTCCTTGCCAATTTCTGGTGATGTCATATGCATGTTTCACAATCTGCATAACATCCACTGTTATTTCCGATATAAGCAGCATTTTAGAGTTTTGATACATAAATAGGATGTCAGAAGCAAAGAGCCGTGTGTTAGAAGCTGATAATAACTAACGCAAAATTATAGAAGCTCCCATACGAAGAAAAATTAAAATATAATAGTAATTAAGGGCCAATTTTTTAACGTTATATTATTTTAAAACACAAAGTCATTTTGGTTAGCTAAACATGAGGGCGTTTTTGAAACCATGCGGGAGTTGTTAGACAACTCTAAGTTAATCATAAAGATTTTATTAGGAAAAAAAATCAGCTTTCAACATATTATCTAAATAAGCTAAAGACATACTACCTCCCTTGGGTCCTTAATACAAGAGCTCATTAGGTATTTAATTTGATTATAAATACAAGATCTCAATCTAATTTGTCTTCCGTATTCATTCCATTTTTTTTCAAAGTAATATCCATGGTGATTGCACATGTTAAAATTTTTTTATTAAAGGGTAATTTCAATGCACACGATTAACAGGTATATTTTAGAAAATATAGCACCCATTTACTACACATAACTAATTTAACTAATTTTTTTAATATTTATAAATTAATTATCTAGCTCTTATATTAAGAAGGAGAGGTAGTATTTCTTTCCCTCATATACATCCCTATGCTTCCAGTAACTTCTTTATGTTTACCTTAACTAAAATCATTTTTCAATAATATTAGAGAAATTGACCCTTAATTTAGATAAGAAATTAAGAATCACTGATTTTAGCTCTAGAGTATTTAAAACAAGATATATAAGTGTAAAAGGAGAATGATAGGATGAAAAAATATACATGTACTACAAGACTTACCATCCCCTTCTCGAGTTGGTGAATTCGGCTGGGGCAGTACCCTATAGATCTCAAAAGCATTGATCATGGGGGACAAACCAGAATCTGGGGTGGATGTGATTGAAATGTTATAAATATGTACCTCTTCAGGAATTGTCTTAACCACGGTTTTGAGCACCCGGTACTGAAGAATTATGTTCTCTCGGATGGTATCGTTGAAAGTAATTTCCATCTTTCTTTGCTGATTTTGAGAATGCTCCTCGAAGTCAAAGAAATGAAGGTAAACATAGTACTCGTAATCTGCACTGTAACCCTCCAAGTCGATAACTAAGGAGGACGACCCGTTCCGCGATCGAATTGCAGTGCCCAACACTTCTTTGGGTAATTTATAGTCTGACACATCACCATCAATAGCAACTGATGCGTCGATTGGCTCTGAGTTTTTGATCACTCCAGTGCGCTCCCACGACCTGCCGTAGATGTCATCCGTGTATCTGCATTATTGTTTAAAGAATGAACCATGCTTATTAATTTATGCAGGTTAAATGAATAAGCTAGTACCGAGTAACGAATTGATTGAAATAGTTAACCTGATGAAAGGATAATCTGGTTGATACACTCCCAGGATACAGCGTGTGTTGAGGGCTAGCGGCAAGTATTTGTTAGTGGGTCGATAAATAGAAATCTTGAGAGGCCAGAGTTGGAGCGTGGAAAAGAAGGGTGTTCCATGGCCAGTGTTGATAAGACACACATCTATATTGTTTGTAGGAGAAACATGAACGACCTCCACTCTCACAATGTTGCCGACTCCAGTTATACCTGATTCTGTCCAGAAATTGACGCCAAGATGGAACTCGAAGGAGGGAGCAGAATTTTTGTAGTCATAATTTCCATACATGTAGTAAGCTCTAACGAGAAAGTTGTTGTTTTTGCCTTGTTTGGGTTTGAGGGTATAGCAATTACTTTTCCCTCCTGGAAAACTTCTTAGAGTGTTGAAATGAGGTATATGGTCAGTGTATTGAGAACTTACATTATAAACTTGACCCGATTCCACAACATTTCCTTCATCTGCCTCATTATAAGCCCCGATCTCGTCCCATCTTGCTTGGGTTACTCCGCAATCAATGTTTATCCCCTCTGTTAATATGGAATGCTATGTGGGTTTAATTAGAGTTGAAATTCTCATCTGGTCCTATTTGTAAGATATTTTCAACATGTTTTATACACACAGATTAAGGGGAATTTTAAACTGTATTAACTCTCTATTAAAATATAACAACTTTTTAACTTTACCCCTATTTAATACTACCTCCGGTCCTAATTATAAGAGCTAGTTGACTAATTTGAATAGATTAAGAAAATAAGTTAAGTTAGTTATTTGTAATACATAGGTGTTGTCTTTCCTAAAATGTCCTTACTAATCAAGTTTATTGGCTAGAACTACTGTTATTAGAAGGAATATCTTTGAAAAAAAATGGAGTATATAAAATATGGATGAACAAAACTAAAACAACATAGTAGAACTACTTTAATGATGAAAATCACTCTCAAGTCAAGTTTCATCATCTGAGTTAAGACAAAAATTGAAAAGCTGCAGAAGCTCGCAATTACCTGAATTTATCACATCGTCGGCAAAAACCTGCAGAACTGAGTGGCTAACAATAAGGAATGAAACAAACACATCCAAAGCTGGAATCCACAGTGGTGTGCTCTTCCTCATGTTTTTCAAGTTTATATCGGTAAAATGAGGAAAAGGGAAATGAACTGGGTGGCTTAAACCATTTAGCAAAAATGTGAGTATAGATATTACTATGAGGCATGTGATTTTAACTTCCAGATGTTCACTCAGTCAAATTTCTTTTTTCACTTTCAGGCAATACACCTACCAACATTTTGCGTTTCTTCTTGGGGGCAATCCTAACAAACTTTTTTTTTTTTTGGGCCATTCGTTCTTGTCAATTTTTTTTGTTATTTTTATGTAACTAAGCAAGAAAAACATTAATCATATGGTGATATATGAAAAACAATAAATATGAAGTTTGTTTTTTGTTTATTTATATATTAATCTCCTAATTTTTGGCTAAAAAAATTTCATATCAGAGATTATTCTGCAACAATGAAATTATAAAATACGTGAAATAATTGTGGGCCAGGGTGATAAGCTGAGGCGGAATATCTATAAAAGAAATCATACTTTATAAAAGAAGTGAAAAAGATCAATGGTGGGTCGGCGAAATAGGGCAAAGGCAAAAGTAAAGGTAAAGAAAAAGATGGTCGTGACAGTACAAAGAAATGTTAAATGACATTAATTGACCGACTAACATCTTTTTTTTTTTTTGGGTCAGAGACTAACTAACGTTATTGAGAAAATGATTGGCATACACATTAAAACAAAAGATGAATTACAACCGCCTCAAAAAAAAATTATCAATAAGTCCTAATGATAACTGAGCACTTTTATCCACAGGGTCCGGCTTGTTTTCCCAGGGCACATAGTTCGAAGTGTTGTTGTTGTTGGATGTTGATGATGGAGTTGATCTATTAATTAATTATTTAAAGGCCAAACATCAGGTACCTCTAGCAATATTATTTTATGATTTTATGTATAGTTTTTTAATTCTATAATTAAGCTGTTGGGAGAAAACAATCATTTGCGCTAGACAATTTGAAACGTGTGTTATAAAAAAGGTTAAATGGGTATTTGGAACACTTTCAAAAATTACTTGAAACAAGTTAAATCAAATACTGAGTATGGCAAACATCCCGAAAAATTCCTATAAAAATAAAATTGGAGGCCATACTAAGAAAGACGAATCCCCAGCTAACTCCTTGATCAGATGGCAGTGTTCGAAATTTCATTTAGTGGTTTTTATCACTATGAAGAGGTACAGAGTCAAAATAATTATCTTAGAGCCCGTTTGATTGGAGAAAAATTCTGCAATGAAGATGAAAAATTGATAAAATGTTTCACTGATGGTAAGCATTTGGCTCGAAGAAGTGGTGAATATAGCTGTGACAGAAGAACGACGCCTAAAGAAGAATCTGGAATAAAGAACTGCAGACTACAGATAGGATGAAATGAACCATATTATCGGGCTTATTATTCGGCAGATTTTGTGTTTCTACAGTTCATAGTTTCTTACTTTTCCTTTTTTATTAAAAAAAATTGGGCTAATATAATTTTCCGTCCTTTAAATTTGTTTTCATTTTGATTTTGATCTATCAAGTTGTAAATAATAAGCTTTGGTCCTTCAAATTTCTTTTTATCTAAAATATTGGTCTTTATAATTTAGTAAAAGCCTCATTTTATATCTTGAGGTACAAAACTCATAATTTAAAATTTAAATAACTAAAACCAAAATAAAAACAAACTTATGGGACCAAAAATTGTTTTAACCTAAAAAAAACATAGTTGTTGGTTTCTTCCAAAGGTTTAAAGTGGAGTTAATTTATACATTTCGATAGATAAATCAATAAAAAAAAGTAGGAAATTTCAGAATAACGAATTATTGTCCAAGCATTTTGCGTATCTCTCCGGTAATTTGATGGAATTGAATCACATGATTTCCTCATACTTCGTTTGGATTTCAGTGGAACTTCTTACTTACCTTAGGTTTGAATGGGGAGAAATTTTTGGGGTGGGGGGGGAGTATACTAAGGGGACAAAACTTTTTTTGGCCTGACGGGGAAAAAAACTTTGAAAAATGGTAAAAAAATTTACTGTCTTTGGAAGTTTTTCTCCTTGGACTTCCGTCCCTCCTATTTTTTTCTCACTTTTTCCTCCGTCCAAACGGACCCCTTATATTTGTAGCGCATGGCCATATAGAGCCTAGAAGAGGAGTCACCGCTAACCACCCGTGAATGTCATGGTTTCTTGGCCGACAAAGCGCAGTTTCCCACGCGCCACCGTCTCCGTTTCTGATACTTCGTGGCATCTTCCATTGAGCCATTCAAATGCATCATTCATCTTTGCCCTTTCATTACTCTTGTACTCCTTCGGTCCTTAATATAAGACCCATTTAACTAATTTGGTTAGATTAAGGAAGTTAGGTAAGTTAGTTAATTATAAGAAAAGTGACACATTTTTCCTAAAACACTATAATCATCTTTTTTAATACCCCCTCTCTCTTTTGCTTAATTATGGTTGAGGGAGTATCCATAGGGGTAATTTAGAGAAAATTGATAAATATGAGAAATGGGTCTTATATTTAGGACCAAAACTAACTCAAGAATTGGGTCCGATATTAAGGACCGGAGGAGTAATATTTATAAGTTATTTTTAATATATTTGACTAAAATTAAGAAAAATCTTAAATTTTATTAACATCTAAATCTAAAATATAAAGACTAAAGAACTTGTCTGAAGATGCGTTGCAAATCATCTCCCTCATATTTGAAGGTTTGAAACTAAGATCTTGAAATTTCATATTTTGATTACTAACCCCCTTTTTTTTTTTTTGTAATTGAGCAACATGCCATATTACTGAAGCAAATGAGATATGGAATTTTTTTAATTATTTTATTCCCTTTTCCTCGCCCGCAAATCCACCAAAGGAGATTGGTCAAATAACGGCGATCATCAAAACCTTCCAACTTTCTGATTTTCTGGAATCCATTTTACTTATCATACATCCCTTATTGTGAATATGAGTGGGTGTGTCAAAAGTGAAGTCCTACATTGCTTAAGAGAGAGGGAGCTCAAGTGTATATACTATTATATATTATTAGGCTAGTGAATGGGCCTAGAGGAGAAGGATTTCACACACATGGCGATTCCTGGTGTCTATCAGCACAACTCGAACCAGATCAATATTTAGTTCCAGTTTCCTCAACATCCCTTCCGACGCAAAAGTAAATCATTGATTCTTCAGCATTTTTCCCATCGGGCTCTGATCATGATTAAGGATTTTGTCCCCATTCTGGATCGATCTTAGCAAGAACAGCCATTCTGTCTATGAAGTAACCTATGTGATAATAACGATCATTGTAATATCCCAAATCCAAAATCTGCAGTAACACTTGTAGATCCTTGTTCGGTAACAATTCCTTTCCATTTTCTCTCGTAGAGGAAACCATTTCCTTTGAATGTTCCATATACAACCATGGCTCGATGGATTGCTTAACAAAAGTTCTTAATCTTTGGTATTACTTCAGGATATAGGACACTTCCTCTGCTATGAATGCGAGTCCATATTGCTTGTAGGAGAAACATGAATCACCTCCACTCTCACA